CTAAAGGAAAAAATAAAGAGAAAAAAAGATGTTGATGACTTTATTGGTAGAGAGTCTAATGAGTGAATGGAGTTTTGAATCTGGGGGAAAATAACCCATTTAAGTAAATATAAAATTCTGGTATGTACCATGTCAGTCAACCAGTTGTTAAAAATTCACATTGTATAACACTTTCTAAGAGGGGGATCATATAGAAAGATGAGGAATCCAAGTCATAATACATAAAATGACAGAAGATGTGTAAGAGATAAGCTTAGAGGAAGCATAGGGGCCAGGCTGTGAGCTGTTTGCTCAAAAAGCAATGACTCTGGAGGGACAAAAAGGAAGCTGTTTATGGGCCCTTAAGACCTTGCTATTGTATAAAAACTTGGAAATCAGTTAACCACTTCATTTCCCATTTTCAACATCAGGTTGGTTTTGCCCTTGTTTGTAATGATTTGGGTGCTAGGAGGTGATGCAGTACGGTGGAATGAATCTTTCATTTGTGCTTTTATAAAATGAGGACAATATGCCACAAGGTGTTTTATATTCAGGATAAAATGAGATACAATGTGAAATGTAGTGGAATCTAGTCATTAAGTAATTTCTAGTCTTCCTAATCTATGCTGGAGATGGCTACGGTGGCTATGAGATTTTGCTCCACTGCGGAGCTGCCCATCTAGTAACCAACTACAGGAGAATTTCCCAGTGCTACTAGCATCTGGTACAACAATGTGACTAGTTTTCCCCAATGAGATGTGACTGGAAGGGGTGTTCACTACACTCAGACCAAGGCTGTTGAGAATCTGCCCTACCTTCCCTCAATGCTTTCCCTTTTTTTCTAGTTAAATACTGATGATGTTGCCAAGGCTCTGGATAATGGTAGAGCTAACAGAAAATAGACACCTGGGTTACTCAAGCACCTGTGGAGAAGATCCACTTGACAACCAGGAACACCTGAGAGATAAACTATTGTATTAAGCCAGTGAAATATAGAAGCCATGATTTGTTACAATAGCAGTTGCTACCAACATAAACCTGCTGTGAGCAGGTTTAGTTAAAATAATAGTGAGGGAGTCAGGCATTGCATCAAAGCCATCATTAGCATCAAACAAGCCATCATTAATGCTATTAAGATATCATGGCCCAAATAGCTACATGGAAAGATTGTAAACATCATTAGTCATTAGGAAAATGCAAATCAAAACCACAATGAGGTGCCATTTCACTCCTACTTGGGTGGCTAACAAAAAGACCAGAACAAGAATGTGGGGAATTTGGACTCCTCAAAATAGTGAAGCTACTATGGAAAACATTTGTTAGTTCTTCCAAAACTTAAGCACAAAGTTACCATAAGACCCAACAATTCTATTCCTAGGTATAAATCCAGGAGAACTGAAAAAAAAATTTATTTATGCAAGAAACCTGTACAAGAATATTCATAGTGACAACAGTCATCACAGCCAAAAAGTGGCAATAATTCAAATATTCAACTGATAAACAAGAAACAATTTCCATATGATGGAATTATTATTTAGTCATAAAAAGGAATGAAGTACCAGCACATGCTATTACATGAATGAACCTTGAAAACTTACATTAAGTGAAGTAGCCAGGAACATGATTCAATTTAAGTGAAATGTTGAAAATATGCCAATTCACAGACAGAAAGTAGATTACTGGGTGCTGGGGGTTTGGAGAGAAATGAGGAGACTGTTAATAGGCAGGTTTACTTTTGGAATGGTGAAAATGTTCTGAGACAACAGATAGTGGTAGTTGCACAATTTTGCATGAATACAACATTACTGCAAATTGTACACTTTAAAAGGGTGAAATTTATAGAATGTGAATCATATTTCAATTAAAAAGAGAAATATTTTCTTTTGCTAAGAGAATCTGGATCTGCACATAAAGGTACTCAGCTCTTTTTAGGTAATGACTAGGAAAGGGTATTAAGGAACCTTATAGCCTGCTCGAAATGTGCTATTTTTTTTTTAAGATTGATTTATTTACTCATACAGAACTGAGGTACAGGCCAGAGATGCGGAAGGTGAAAAGATTCACCAGAGACACAGTGGGGAGCAGAACAGGGCTGAGGGGAGCAGTGGGCGGGTCAGGAGAGGTCTGCCGCGCCATGTGGATCTCCTCCGGGGCAGAAGTGGCTTAAGCTTCTTAGTGCTGTGCTTTAACCCCCTGCGCCACCAGGGAGGGCCTGAAATGTGTTAATTTTTATCTGAATGGTAGTTACATTTGGTATACACACATGCAAACAGTCATTCTAGGTATGATTCAAAGTCAGTCAGAACCTTCAGAATTCTTCCTCCTGGCTGTCCCCACAAGCAACAAAGCCCCTAAGCCATATGCACAGAATATCTCTGCTTAACTATGGAGTACCTTAGGTACAACTTTCCTTAGTTTAAATTGCAGTTTAACATGGAGATAAGAAAAATTTTTAAAGCTAATCCCGAGAATAAGATGAAGGTGGGAAATAAGACAGAGCCCCATAACAACTTCTAAAGTGTATACTGTATCATCAAAATTCTCTAAGAAACAAAAGAGGTCCTGAAGGGATACTGTGGGATAAATGGGAAGGACCTGAGAAAGGACTTTAAATGGAAAGTATATTTTTACTCTGTTTAGGTACACACCACTTTCAGAAACCAAGTTAAAACCACAAGATAAAAATCTTCTTTAGTAAAACTGTCCTTATTTGCAGATGATATGTTAATCTACATGGAAAACCCTAAAAAACTCCACAGAGAAACTAATCAAAACCATCAACCAGTTTAGCAAGGTAGCAGGATATAAAATCAAAACACAAAAATCAGAGACTTACTATACACAAACAACCTATCAGAATAAATAGAAATAAAAAAAACTATCCCCTTTTCAGATAAAACAAAAAGAACCAACTACCTGGGAATCAACCTAACAAAAGAGGTAAAAGACCTATACAAAGAAAATTACAAAACACTGTTAAAAGAAATAAAAGACACCATGAAATGGAAAGACATCCCCTGCTCATGGATTGGGAGAATTAACATCAAAATGGCCAGCCTATCAAAAGCCATATACAGATTTAATGCCATCCCAATAAAAGTCTCAATGACATTCCTCAAAGAAATAGAAAAAATAGTAATGAGGTTCATATGTAAAAACAAAAGACCTCGAATAGCCAGAACTCTCATGACTAGGAAGAAAGAGAATGGGGGCATTATAATCCTAAACTTCAAGCTATACTACAAAGCCATAATAATCAAAACTGCATGGCACTGGAACAAGAACAGACATACAGACCAGTGGATTTGGAAAGAAAACCCATATATAAACCCACAGGTTTATGGACAGCTAATGTTTGACAAAGGAACAAAGAAGATACAATGGAACAAAGAAAGTTTGTTCAGCAAATGGTACTGAGAGAACTGGGAAGCTACATGCAAAAAAATGAAACTAGATCACTACCTCTCACCATACACAAAAATCAACTTGAATTGGATTAAAGACCTAGACATAAGAACGGAAACCATAAAATACCAGGAAGCAAAGATGGGCCAAATACTACACAACATACACTTCAGCGACATCTTTAAAGATAGAGCACCCATTGCAGCGATAGTGAAAGCAAGGATAAACAGATGGAACTACATCAAGTTAAAGAGCTCTGTACAGCAAAAGAGACATTACAAAAAACAACCAGACATCCCACTGATTGGGAAAAAAATTTCTCACACAAAATTAGTGATAAAGGATTGATCACAAAAATATACGGAGAATTGATGAAACTCAACAAAAAATAAACAACCCCATCAAAAAATGGGCAGAAGAGCTAAAAAGACATTTCTTCAAGGAGAAAATGCAGATGGCCAACAAGCATATAAACAAATGTTCAATATTATTGTAATAAGAGAGATGCAAATTAAAACCACAATGAGATACCACCTCATCCCAGTGAAAATGGCACATCTTCGAACAACTAGCAACAACATGTTGGCGAGGATGTGGAGAAAAAGGAATTCTCCTGCACTGCTGGTGGGAATGCAAACTAGTACAACCACTATGGAAAAATGTTTGGAGGTTCCTCAAACTGCTAAACATAGAGCTTCCCTACGACCCAGCAATCCCACTCCTAGGTATCTACCCAAAAGACACAAAAACACTGATTGAAAAAGATACCTGCACCCCCATGTTTATTGCTGCTTTATTTACAACTGGAAAAACATGGAAGCAGTCCAAATGCCCAAAAGTAGATGACTGGATTAAAAAGATGTGGCACATATATACAATGGAATATTACTCAACAACCAAAAAAGAGAAACACATGTCTTTTGCAGCAACTTGGATGGAGCTGGAAAAGATCATGCTGAGTGAGATAAGCCAGAAAGAGAAAGAAAAATACCGGATGGTTTCACTCATAGCAGGAGTATAATGGACCAGGCGAGAAAATAACAAAAATAATGAACAACCATATACCAGAGACATTCTGTGGGGGTGGAGTGGGGAATGGGATCAAAAATGGGGGGGGGGGAAGGGAGGGAAATGCACAGGACTATGGTGGTGGCATAGGGGTGATTTGGTGATGGGAAACCCGTGGGGATTACAATCGAGATGGAAAAAAAAAATGTGCAAAATGATGTAAAAATAAACTTTGTAATAAATAAAATAAAATAAAAAAGAAAGATCCTATATGGATCCTAAGCAGATGAATAACCACATCATTGACATTTCTTATTTAACAGAACATCTTTCTCAAGAAATGTACTACTGGCCTTATGGGTGGGGAATTGTCTTAAAAAAAACAAAACAAAACAAAACAAAACAAAACAAAACAAAACAAAACAAAAAAAACAAAAGCTTCATCACATCTAATTACTTCATAGTCAAAATAGAAGAATAATCAGAATGTTTCCAACCTCCAAATAAGAATACAACGTGGTGAGTCCATGAATCGTCACTGGAACCTTCCAAATCCATTGGCAAGATAGGCTTAAATTGCAACAAATTCCTAAAAGGATGTAACTTACTTGCAGGAGACTTTAGTTCTGTCAGCTACCATGGTCCACTGCTGCTGGTTGGTGGAAACCTCAATGTAGTAACTATAGCTTCGATCATCACAGTCCCAAAGCAATAACCTGAATAAAGGAAAAACATAAGAATATGGTAAATTTCCTGACTGTTTTCTTAGGCTCTAAGATGGAATTTGTCTGCTTTTTTCTTCCTCCCTGCTTTCTTGGCCTCACCACACTTCCAGGGCTGGTGAGAGAAAGCAAGTCTCCGAGAAAATTATGAGGAGAGAAAGTGGTGGCTATGCACAGTGAGAGGCTTGTGTCTTTAGAAATTTATTTCACAAGTCACTCAATCTCAGGCAGCCTTTTCCCCCCAAATGGCCACATTCTTCAAATTGGCTTATCAGGGAAACAATGACTCCACACCCTTCTTTCTGATTCTACCAGTTCTCCTCTTCAGTTGGTTGGGAAGAGCAAAGATAATGTTCCCGAGACCACTGTTCATGGGAGAAATCTGTGCACCTAATTGGTGGCAACTATGCCCCGATGGCTTCACCTTAGCAACTTGTAAGTTCCTTCTCTTTTTTTATGAGACTTATTATAAAGTGGTAAGAATATCTGATTTGGAGGCAAACATATTCACTCTAAAAGTCTGTTATTATTTAGAAAAGTATTACTTGTTCTTGTTCTTGTTTTTCCTCCCCTCCCCTTTTAGCCCAGACAGAATCAAAGCATGACTATATATCCCATATACATGAAGCTCAAGAGACAAAATTTACTTATGGTGGCGGGAATCAGAAGAGTGGCCACCTCTTCTGGGAATGGATATGAGGGACCCTTTTAGGATGCTGGAAATGTACTAATTTTGATCTGAGTGGTAGTTACATGGGTATATACACATGTAAATATTCACTGAGCTATACATAAACTATTTATATACTGTACATTAATTCAATTGAAAAAATAGAATTAAAAAAGAATCTAAGTATTACAATATGGGATAGCACAGTCAGCATTTTGCTTCTGATAGTGCCAAAGCAGCGAGAACACTGTTTTCCATGATTTCAGACACAAACATCCTTCTCATATATGATATTTAGCTCATGGTTTTATAGTTTGCTGTGCACTTTCCCACCAGGCAGGTCAGAGAGTAATTGCCTCTTCCACCAGGCAGGACAGGGAGTGAGCTCTCTGAAGGCAGGGCCCATATCATCGGGTTTTCTATACTCAGTTCACACACAAAGTCTACATTCAATGAAAATTTGCTAAGAAATTAAAATTATTTGTGACATCAACAATTATTACCATAATGGCCAACATTTCTTTAATGTCTATAGTGTACTAGATCCTATATAATTTATCTTATTAAATCCTCCCAAAAACCTTCCTAATAAGTGCTATTATTCTTATAATATTACAGATGGTGAAAATGAAGATTAAAGCTGCTTAAAGCTGTTAAGAAACTTGTCTAAACTTCCTGAGAGGTGGCCACAGGGCTTCTAACCTGGCGTCCTGACCCAAGGCCTATTTCTGTGATTCTTCTGCCAAATGTTTCCTTTACTCCCAGTTCATGTGTCTGGCTTACAATTTACCAGCATAAACTATCACTCTATCAAAGTAGCTCATACAATTTCTGCTTAAGTTTGCAACTATAATCCATGAAAATTCTTTGTACCAGCAGGTGACAATAACTGTAAAGCCAGTATAGACAACTGCAAATGCCTCTGTGCTCCCCTTCCCCTTTGTCCTTTGTTTTCAACTGTAATTCTGTCTGCTATCAATTACTAAATCCACTCTACTTAATGTTGTAGAACTCATCATTTAAGTAGAGAAAATTGTTAAAATGCTGTGGAAAGCATAAACCAACTTTAATTCATCTGAGAATTTAATTTCTCAAAGTATCAGACAGGATTCCACCCTATTGTTTTTTTAGAATCCAATAATTCTACTCCTAGATCATGCCAGCCTGCCTGATAAGAAAGTGAATCATTTCCTTTGTTAGTCATTTCCTCAAATATTATTCTACCTCTCAGCACTTTTATACAGTTAGTCTATGTTAATTTACATTTATTTTGACTAACTTGTAAAAGTGTAATTTTGCATCTATGTTCACCTGGCTCTCAGACTGATCATATGCCTTTTAGAAAAAAACTAGAACACTCTTTTTAAAAATTCTATTTTAAACATCTGGATTCTATTCATAGTATATGTTCTATACATATTATGGGTAGAAGTCATACATAGCTCTGCCAGAGTATATTAAAACCAGGATAAAAATTCAAATTAATTAATCATTCTCTTTATGTAACAATCCCAGTAAGAGGTTATTTAGGAGACACTGTTGGAACTATTTCTCCAATGGGATTTTGGAGATTTGGTATAATCCCTATCCTCCTAGATAATCATGAATTAGTATTTCTACCAGAGTATCCAAATGAAAATCATCTAGCCCTTTTAGAACAGAATCTGACCAGATCATAAAGTTATTTCATGGGAAAAGACTGCCCTAAATCTATGGGGTATGGAGATTAAAAAGGGAGGTCAATTCTAGGTAAATACCATAAATGTAGAGGTTCTTGGAGTGATGGTATACTAAAGCTATGTATATTGTGTCCTATAGCTTATCCTATCAAGTTTTTCAAATTGTCTCAAAGAAAATTATTTTTTAAAATAATGATCACCTGGCCCTCCCTGGTGGGGCAGCGGGTTAAAGCACAGCATTAAGAATCTAAAGCCGCTTCCGGATGAGTTCGATTCCCACCTGCCCCGGAGGAGACCACATGGCGTGGCAGACCTCTCCTGACCCGCCCGCTGCTCCCCTCAGCAGTGTACTTCGTTGATCTGCCTGTTCTGTTCCCCATTCTGTCTCTGGTGAAGCCTCTCACCACCCCTGAGCCTCTGGCCTGCACCCCAGTTCTGTATGCACAAATAAATAAATCTTTTTTAAAAAAATTGAAAAAAAATAATGATCACCTGTAATTACTGTATTTTTATAGATATATATACATGGAACACACAGTAATTTGCTACTTTTGTGTATTTATTATGAATATTTAAAAAAAGATTTATTTATTTATGCATATGCAGCTGGGGTACAGGTCAGAGATGCAAGGGCGGTGAGAGGATTCACCAGAGGCAGAGAGGGGAGCAGAACAGGCTGAATAACGAAGCACACTGCTGTGGGGCTCAGCGGGTGGGTCAAGAGAGGTCTGCGGTGCCATGTGGGTCACCCCCAGGGTGGGGATCAAACTCATGCTGAAGTGGCTTTAGCTTTTCAGTGTTGTGCTTTAACCCGCTGCGCCACCAGGGAGGGCCCTATTATGAATGTTTTTTTGGTTTGGTCAAAAATTCTTTCTCATCATATCTACTGGCTTCATAGAATTTCCTATGGGTATTCCTTAATTTACTTATTAATCAGTAAATAGAACATCTTGGTAGTTGAACAAATATACTGGTATGGAAACTCTGTGATAAACATTAAGTTAAAGCGATGCCTTCTGTAAGTTTCTGTGGGTGAAATTTCTTCTGTAAGGAGCAGGGCATGTAAACATTTGAGGCATTGCTAGGTTACACAAAACAGATGTATATACATCTCCCTTCTCCCTCAAACAAAAGTCTGTATCAATTTATACTCACACTACCAGCAGTATCTAACAAATGCTCATTTCTGTGCACCTTCATCAATAATGTGTATTATTTTTAAAAATAACGACAATTTGACAAGAAATATAACTCATTAATTTTCAGCTTTTTATTATCATCGAACAGTTTATCCACTTTCTACTTATATTAATTCTTCTGTTAATGACTTACAAGATGCCCTCTATATTTAAAGGATATTAATACACTGCCTATCAGAGTTTGCATGCTGAAGAAATTAATTTTTATTAGCCTAGTCTATCGATCTTTACCTCCATAATTTCTCCTGGCCTAAATTCTTTTTTTCTGAACAGCAGCCAAGAGAACATACTGGTTGAGACATCCTCTCTCTATTCCTCTATTAAGAGTCCCCAGGGACTGGAAATGTGGGGTCGTGGTGACTCCTGACTGGAAAAGGGACAATGATGGATTTCAGGTTATCTCACCTTTGGAGTTTTTAAGAGGGATTCTAATTCATGTGCCAGGATGCCTATTTGGTTGAAATTTAGACTCAGCCAGGAGTGAAAATCCCTTTGTTGATTCAACTGTAAAAAAGTAAGCACAACTTAAGGACACTAAAGGGAAAGCTCGCTCATTCCCTTTTTTTCCATGGGGAGGAATTTTGCTCTAATAAGGCACAACTTAAACGCCCACCAACTCCCTTTACTTCACTCCCTGCTGGCAAAGTCGGCTTTTACATCTTTTCCCCCTCCTCAACAACATAGAGATATTTCCAACTTGTAATCTGCGTGGGAATGTAAGCTTGCTCAGGACAGACATACTCCCTCTAACTTTACCTGAGGGGAGTTCCTTAAACATAGCCCCCATATCGACATACATCATGCATCAGGGGCTGTTTTTAAAAGAGGCTGACTAAAGCCAGCCACTGGCCAAGATCCATTAACACAGATTGGATCTGTGTGCTTAGCTGGCACTACAAACCCCTTTATCTAATGAGCACTGCATGAAATGCCTGGTGATAGTAAATGCTGTCTCTTCCACCTTCCCTTATTCTCATTGTGGAGTTTTCCTTAAAAGCGGTGAAGTGCTGGACTTTTTCAAAAATTGATTAGCAGATGTGATTTTGCTTACATCTTCCATAAATGATCTGGCTGGCTGCATACCATTGATTACTGGGGTTCAGTTTACAGCAACTAATTGCTCTCCTTGCTGGTGTTTTGATATAAAATTCAATAGCGAATATGTTTTCAAAACTCTTGTCTTTGCGGCTTGAGTCAGAAGTGACTTGAGGCAAACCCAGTGGACTGAGTTTTCCCTTCTTTAAAATAATTGCTCTCTCATCAGTCTGTGAAGAAAGTTTCTAAATTGTAGCATTCTAATTGGAAAGTCTGCATTATGCATGCGATGACAAACTATGTTGTGCTGAATGGCATTTTTTTCATTCCTTTCTTAAGGGATTAATTCTGTGCCACATTCTGAACAATGGTTGAGGCTTCACAGTTGAGATCAACAGCTTCTCCACTGAG